TGGATGGCCGTTTCGTCGAAATGTGGGACTCATCTTCATATTTCTGTAATAAGTGTCACAGAGCGCTCTCACTAGTGAATATATTCTTCAGGAAATTCTCGGAATTCCAACGAGAAATCATGACCAGTTTGGGTTCGACCCTGTCCGTTGAAGGCAGTAACTAACAAAGACAGTAAATGAGGTCGAGTTAACCATACATTGAAGAAAGACTATAACACAGTTGATTACCAGCTTACATTTCTGGAGTTTGGGCGACCTCATGCAGGACCGAAGGAAGTAGGAGCGATTCCTTCTAGCGGGGTTCGTGAGTGTCTAAAACTGATGACTTGTATACTAGAGTGAAACGGTTGTAACATACTTCCATGTTTGTAATGGTGTTCTAATAATGTTCAATTCAGAATTTTAAGAGAAACATTGTCAGAACTATGTGATGCCTGAGTGCAACACAACGAAAGCCGAATTGATATTGGTCTTATGACTCGTCTCAAATGTGTTTAGCAATGGGAGACAATGAATGTTTATCGTCAACCCGCAATGGGGACATTTGATTTCATTTATCTTTGAAACTACTAATGTACATGTTCAGACACTCTAACTTTCAAGTCACGATTACGCCTCCTAATGCATGTGCATACCGGTAATAAACCTTTAAAAGTTATCAAAAGAATAGGTAATGTAGATTTGTTCAAATAGATAGTCATATAAAATATCTATTTTGTTTCACAGATAAAATTGTGATCAAGGAATTCACGTCTAAAGAACACATTGTCCTTCGCTTGATACCAATATCGCCGAAACAACCATTCAGGGAATATTGACACAAATGCCTTCAAACACAATCTAACAAATCCGTCAACTATTTAGCCAGGTTATGTGGAAGTGGATAGGACACACACTACGAAAAGCACCTAACTGCGTCACGAGACAAGCCCTCACATGGAACCCTCAAATCAAAAGGAAAAGAGGAAGGCCGAAGAATATATTACGCCTAGAAATAGAAAGATATGAGATGAATGAACAAACATTGGACAGAACTGGAGCGGGAAGCCCAGGACAGAGTTGGTTGGAGAAAACTGGTGGGCGGCCTATGCTCGATTGGGGGTAACAGGCGTAAGTAAGTAAGTATGTGCAAGTGACCGATACATTGATAAAATAGGACGTCAAGAAATATTTGACTGAGAATATGCTGAGCCTACAGGTTTTAGAAAGTTAACTTTCTCTTTATCAATCACATTGGTGTGTAGCAGTTTCACCAGGTTCGAGTTTATTCTTCCCTCTAATCTACAAGTGTTACAGATTCGACATCAGGCATAAGATAAATTTCATCATTGATGATAGATAACATCTTACATTTATAATCACACTTTTTCATGATAACCACACTTCATCCTCCATCAGGCTTCACCAGGACAATAAAGTTGTTTGTTTGCATCTCTGTCAGTGGTTTAAAATGCTGAGATTTTAATATACTTCTCTGCTTCGGTCTAGATTTATGAAATTTGGTGCGCTTTTAAATAACTTTGTTCACTCAACTATGTAGGAACTAGCATAGTTGGTCGATCATAAGGAGTTTGAAATCGCGCACTGATCGTCGTTTCAGACGTTTTGTAATAAGTACAATTGAGTTGTAGCCAACAAAAAAGGATCGACTGGAAATTAATCGATATGATTATCACTAGTTTAAGATTTTCCACGTTGTTTCTTTGTCATTTCGAAATTGTAATACAGCAGAAATTGATGAATATAATGTGACAGATGATATATTTTTTTCTGTCAATATATTCAGATTTGATACAGATTTCGGGCCTCATTCAAGAAACTGTATAATTTGAATTCATCTACAGCTCCAGACTACTGTTTGCACAAGAATCTTAGATAAAAAACAACATGCATCAAGCAAATCACATTTGATGGAGAAGCTTTGGAAGATTTAGAAGCCATATTATTGATAAACAAGGTGGATCTGATGCAGTTGTGATGACATGGATTGGCAAGGCAAGATTATTATTTCCACAACTGCATAACTTCTAGAACTCAAAACAACTCTCATCATACATCAACGTTACAATTTCCAATCTAAAAATACAAGACAGTCCTATTGTATGGAGCGTAAAATTAGAGAACTACAAAAGCCATCATCTGAAGTACGCTGGTGTTTGTTAATAGGTACTGTGAACCTGTTTTCTAGACAGAAGCAGCAGCAACCTACTGTGAGGGAATACAAACCAGATTCTGGCAGGTGAAGGAACTAGGAAAAGGGCTAGTGGTGGATAGGGTGTACATTAGGAAAAGCACTCAAGCATTAGACGAACCCTCAAGGACACAGGAGAAGAAAAAGATCTAAGAACACATTAGGCCAAGAAGTGGACTGGCTCAGAGGAAAGTAGCTTTGATAGAATAACTAGATTTATCCTTAGATCGGTGAAAATTTTCAATCGCAAGAAAAAAATCAGCGTTTCGCTTTGCAAAGGAAGTGAGAAGCGAAATAATTCAAAGGATTGCTTCGGCTATGAGAGAGAAGCGGATTGAATACAACCCTTCTGTGCATAGAGGTAAGGTTTCAAGTGATGAACTGCTTTAGCCTAAGCTGTATAAAAAAACCAACCTCTATCAAGCCGGTCCTTCTCAATTTATAGAGAATCTTGAAAGACTATTCACGCGAAGTTTTGTGATTCGAGTTGCTGATGTGTTCAAGGATAGAGCTGTTGATTGGTTTGCATTCTCTTTTAGTATCCACTCACAAAATGGCACGGATATTCGTTTATCAGGTGCAAGCTTTGTAAGGCCATTGTAACTTGCTCCACAAGAGCAAGCCAACTGATAAATGAGCGCTGACGTGGCCCAAAGCGGGATTTTATGCTTGACACTGCTCTAAATAAGTTTCTTGCTGCATAAAATATTTTGCAACTTTGTTGAATAAGACATCTCTCTCAAAGAACTGAATAATCTGTTCCGTAAATTAATATGTGTGTTTTAACAATTCATAATATTACAGTTTTGATCCAAAATTAAAGTGTATGTTCAGCGTGGGAATAGAAATACTTATGTACTAATTTAGAAACCATAAATCCTGAGAAATAAATCAGTTGTTAGACAGTTTTCTGAGATGATGAACCTATCTAAGTTAGAACGCCATTTAATACTGGGGATCAGTGAACATGTCAGTAATAAAAAAGAACGCTAAACTGTTCAATGAGAACTTAATTTGGTCATCTAAATACCATATGAGATTAAACTTTTAAACTGGTTACATTGGGTAAATATGATTTCCAAAAACTGAGAAATAAAAAGACGACATTCAAACTTACTGTAGTGATAGATAGTGGATTCACCATAGACGTAACAGGTAGTGTTATGATAGTTGTACTTATAGTTTGCCTACTTGATAAAAACATGATTTGTAATCGCGCTACTTCACCCCGGATGTACGTGGTGCTGTAACATAATTTTATTCCAATACGAAAATTATAAGTAACATTCCATGAATTAGTATTTTTAAATACACCGATCGAGGTATTGCCTCCCGTTATTATTCCGTTTGATAGAGTGTATTCAGTTAATAATCGGACCTGCAATAATTGAAAGATATTTAAACTCAAAATACAATAGCAAAAAACACTTTTCCATGCCAAGCTTATCGATCATTTTAGAGAACATTTGTGATGAATGTAAAACATTCACAGTTCAAATCATAATCTAATCTTCTCTGGACGATAGATAAAAATGAAAAAGCAATGGATAGCTACATATTCCTAATATATAAAGTAATCCCCAATCTTACAGACGGGAATCGTACACAGAATGGTCGGCTTTGAGCGTAAGTGCCTAATCTCGACATCACTAAGCTTACTTACTTCAGGCTCCAGGAGGGATTATCACTAAGCTACCATCCGATTACTTAAACTATGAAAATTTTACGATCTCGGCAAACCCCTACGGACTTATAGTGACAAACGTCAAGGTGTAACTTCTTAAGTCCTGGCGAGAAGCTGTGACCAATAGAGCTGAACCATACCCCGTGTGAGAAAGCTGTTCACCGTAGACAAAAGATGATGGCCACGCAGTATTGCAAATTGACTTTAGATAGATATATATCATTGAATGGCATCTCAGTGCTCTAGATGTTCAGGAGTCCTGTATAAAACGACCGGTTTTCACTTCAATCTCTTATGGTTCAGTGAATGCATACTGGTGCTGAGTCTTAAACTAGGAAGAAAATGATGTCAACATTTGATCAGAAGATTCAGTCATCTAACTTTATTTATTTTGAAGATTATATCTTTCAGGGTGAATGTATGAACGGTTCTGTTTATTGTTTCACAAGAAATGTACTTTTATTTCCCGTATGCATCTGTGTTGATCTACTGATTTTAACTGAAATTTTTTCACTGTAAGATTTATCAGGTGATTCGCAGCTCAGGTATAATACAAAACTGTCAGTCACTGAGTGAAATTATGTCATATTTATATTGTGAAAAATATAAAAGATAGATCAGGCTTTTACTTTCATTATGTATAGATTTTACTTTCTGTTATCACATATATCCTGTCAATTTTCATATTTTCTTGCTGAATGTGATAGTGTCGTAGAAAAAAAGGTTTTATTCACTCTAATCAATTTATACTTGATAATTAGAACAACACATATAAGTGAACAATATTGTTTTCGATCAGATCGTTATCAGGCTGCTTTACTCTAATATAAATGAATATTTATATGAAAATGTTAAACCAATCAAGGCAATTTGAGTGATAATCACAATGAAATGAAAAAGGCAAAAGTACAAGTAGATAGTGGGAAGATAGGTGAACAGATAGTAGTAGGAAAATTTATAAAATATGATAACTAAAGTAGGTCAGAGGTGGATGAATAGAATTCAAATTGATGTTTTTTGATGAGTATTTGAATTTAATGTATCCACCTTTGACCTACTTTAGTTATCATATTTTATAAATTTTCCTACTACTATCTGTTCACCTATCTTCTTACTATCCACTTGTACTTTTGCCTTTGTTCATTTCATTGTGATTATCACTCAAATTGCCTTGATTGGTTTAACATTTTCATGTATAAATATTCATGTATATTAGAGTAAAGCCTGATGACGATCTAATCGAAAACAATATTGTTCACTTATATGTGTTGTTCTAATTATCACAATGGGAATCTTTAATACTCTTATACTTGATAGTTTAAAAGGAAACAATTTTATATGTTCACTTTTCATGACTATTTTTTATTTGAGACACTTTTTTACGAAATTCGAATTATACTACTGACAAGACGATGTCATCTGAGGATCCATAACAAAACTACTTACTTACTTACTTACTTACTTGATTACTTACTTACTTAATTACTTACTTACTTACTTACTTACTTACTTACTTACTTACTTACTTACTTACTTACTTGATTACTTACTTACTTGATTACTTACTTACTTACATACTTGCTTACTTGCTTACTTACTTACTTACTTACCTACTTACTTACCTATTTACTTACATACTTACTTCTGTTACCCCCGTATGGAGCATAGATCGCCCACCAGTTTTCTCCAGCCACAACTGTCCTGGGTTCCCTTTCTAGTTCTTTCCAGTTTCTGCTAATTTTTCTCATGTCTTTCGCTATTTCTCTGTTTATTTTTTTGTTCCTTGGCCTTCCTCTTTTTTCGACATTGAAGGTGTATTTTAAGGCTTGTCTTGTTACGCAGTTCGGTGCTGTTCGCAGTGTATTGCTAAATAGAATGAAGGACTTCGTAGACGCCCAAATTCGAGATCAACAGGCTGGATTTCGCAACGATCGATCGTGTACTGACCAAATTGCTACACTACGGATCATTGTGGAACAATCAATTGAATGGAACTCACCACTCTACATCAACTTCATCGACTACGAGAAAGCGTGGATAGGAAAACACTATGGAAGCTTCTTCGACACTATGGAGTGTCTGAGAAGATAGTCAACATCATACGGAATTCTTATGATGGGTCACACTGCAATATCTTGCGCGGTGGTCAGCTGACAGACTGATTCGAGGTGAAGACCGTTGTCAGGCAACACTGCTTACTCTTACTCTTTATCTTTCTCCTGGTGATCTACTGGATTATGAAGACGTCGACGTCTGGAGTGTAACACGGTATCAACTGGACAGTTAGGACGCAGCTGGACGATCTGGACTTCGCAGATGACCTGGCTCTTCTATCGCACAATCAACAACAAATGCAAGCGAAGACGACCAGTGTAGCAGCAGCCTCTGCAGCAGTAGGTCTCAACATACATAAAGGAAAAAGCAAAATTCTCCAATGCAACACAACATGCACCAACCAAATCACTCTTGATGGAGATGCCTTGGAGGACGTTAACGCCTTTACATATCTGCGCAGCATGATCGACAACTAAGGTGGTTCGGATGCAGATGTGGGTGCGGGGATAGGCAAAATGAGGGTTGCATTTTTACAATTGAAAAAGATTTGAAACTCCAAACAAATATCAATCAACACCAAAATCAGGATTTTCAATACAAATGTGAAGACAGTTCTACTGTATGGAGCGGAAACATGGAGAACTACCAAAGCCATCATCCAGAAGATACAAGTGTTTATTAACAGCTGTCTACGCAAAATACTTCATTTTCGTTGGCCAGACACGATCAGCAACAACGTACTGTGGGAGAGAACAAACCAGATTCCAGTGGATGAGGAAATCAGAAAGAAGCGGTGGAAGTGGATAGGACACACACTACGAAAAGCACCTAACTGCGTCACGAGACAAGCCCTCACATGGAACCCTCAAGGCAAAAAGAAATGAGGAAGGCCAAAGAATACATTACGCCTAGAAATAGAGAAAGATATGAGATGAATGAACAAACATTGGACAGAACTGGAGCGGGAAGCCCAGGACAGAGTTGGTTGGAGAAAACTGTTGGGCGGCCTATGCTCGATTGGGGGTAGCACACCAATAGGTTTAGTTCACTGTTATTAAGACCAGTGATAAACTATGGAAAATATAAGACCCAATGTACATATCAAACTTACTTTCTTTATAGCATTGTTTTGCGTTAATAAATAATCCACGGAACTCGGTTCAGTAATTAATTTACCTAGATTAGTTATCCGAAATGCATACTGAGCTGTTGTAGATGGTGTTACAGTCAGTTGAACTGCGAGGAATTGCAGCTTTTCAGCTTCGTATTTGATTGGAGTATCAGTTATTGTAACAAAGCTATAATTATCCTATTTATTGTAAGTAGGAATGTTAACACAGGTTTTTACTGACTAACTAGCAACCTTACCATCACAGGATTCGAGAACCTAGTGATTGTACTCTCGCAATAATTCACTGTAGAAGACGTTCCTGTTGGTGATATCTTTGCTTCAAACTTAATAGATGGTAAACTTGTTTTAGAGATAATTACAAAAGCGGTTAGACGAACTGAGCGATTGACTGCTGGCAAAGTGTTGTCATAAACTCCTGAAAATAAACAAAATCTCGAGTAAATGTAGACGAGTTCACGATACAATAACATAACACAAAGAATACAAATTATCAAATTTAAGCACATGGTTGGCTTTTGAAAATACGATCATTTGCAAATCAATAAACCGTAATGGGTTTTACTGTGGGAAATCAGAAAAAATCGAAAAATAAGACTTTATGATAAGTGGTTAAACATTTTGCTGGACGTTCTTCGTCATGTAGGTGTACTCTTTAAACAAACATACGTTTGAATGAATCTGGTAAATTATATATTGAGAAAAATCTCACTTTTTCTTGTTACAAGTGATCTAACATTAAGATCATGATAGTAATCGGTATTCGGTGTATTTTTAGTTAGACCACTTAGTCAGATAGACTATTAATCAAAGTCTTCCTATGACTAGATCCCATCACAAATCTAGAATCAGGTAGTGGATGATATTTCACATGTTTTTAAGTGTAAGTTCTCTCAGTTGATATTGATTTGCTACTTGTTTTCATCATCATTTGATTCAGTGCTGTCAGTATGGAGTTTTAGAAATTATTCAGTTTCAATGATATCATGAATCGATCAATTTCAGACCATCATCAGAAACCTGGAATCCCTAGATGGCGGCTACCTCCTAGTATGGGACTTATTAGCAGTGAGCATTCATGATGTATGCAAGCGGAAATCGAACCTCGGACCTTCGCTCTCGCGCGCAGTTTTTTAACCTCTAACTGTTTAGTTGAAATCCAATGGTGCTAATATATGACTTCGATCAAGCAACCTTATCATGAAAATTGGTTATTAACTTACCAAAATTTTGTAGATTTGTCACACTCACATAACCAATTGTTGTCATTATCAGTTTCGAAGTAACTAGTTGTTCTGTATTGATTTTATAATCTTCAGGATATGCTGAGAATGTTGGAGGTAGTGTTAATGATAAATGTCCAATGGAAGCACTATATTCATCTGTACTAAAAGTGAACTATTAAACATATTATTCGATTATCATATATATTTAAGAATATCAATCATTTTCGTAAATGTCAGTATTATTTAAATGAGTAAACTGTGAGACTTGTTCGTCTTCTGAAGCGATTGATTGATAATTATTTCGACACAATTCCTTAACTTCAATTCCTGCTAAGATGTACTTGAAGTTAAAATCCACCTGAAATATTTTAAATATGGTTTACGTCGATTTGCTGACTCCTCCTGTTATCCCTTTTGTGCTACTGCTGGTCCAAGTACGGATTAAAGTTTTAGTTGGTTGTAATGTGAAAACCGTTCTAAATTTACCATAACTGTATATAACGTTTGTATAAAGTACCATGGAAATATTGGTTTCTGTATTAGTGTTAAATCTGCCTGGTGACAATTCTGTGGCTACACTCGGACAAAAGCCCTGATAACGGAGGAGTGATGGGCTTAGTTTTGGCGACCCTATCCAAAATAAAAAACTAACTGTATGAAAAATGCTAGCTAGAATCCTCAATTTAAACAATTCTCACTCTGTCTGATAATTAGAAGGTCTTCTTTCAGAAGAGTTATGAAGTCCTATGATGAAAGCCGAGTTCCTTCGGGAGGCACGAGACAGATGCTATTTCTGACAAACTCAGCATACACTCTTTTAGGTACATAAAACATTCAAACATTGTCGCAGACTGGAAGACTATTTCAAATTGCTGCAGAGATGAACAGATACAACCTGGAGGTGCTTGGAATCACTGAAACGCATTGGACACAGGCTGAACATCTGAGACAATCTTCAGGAGAGCTGCTTTTGTACTCTGGCCATCAAGAAGAAGATGCCTCACACACACAAGGAGTGGCATAGATGCTGTTCAAGCAAACAGAAAATGCTTTGAAAGGATGAAAATCTCATGAACCAAAGAGCATCAAAGCATCCTTCAAAACAAAGAAAGAGGGCATTACAATGAACGTCATCCAATCCCATGCACCTACCAACGAATACAATGACGACGTTAAAGATCAATTCTACGAAAGGATTCAGTCAATCGTCGACCGATGCTCACTAAAGGATTTGACCATTCTGATGGGAGACCTGAATGACAGGTAAGGCATGTACAACACTGTATATGAAGACGTCACATGAACAAAAGGTCTGGGAGAAAGGAACGAAGACGGTGAGAAATTTGCAAACCAATGTGTCTTTAACAAACTGACCATCAACGGCTTAATATTCCCACATAGACGCATACACAAAACTAGATGGATTTCACCGGATCACACTACTCAGAACCAAATCGATTATATCTGTATCAATTAAACGTTCAGAAGGAATATGGAGGATGTGAGAACCAAGAGAGGAGTTGATATAGCCTCAGATCACCACTTGCTGGTCGCCAATATAAATCTGAAACTAAAGAAGCACTGAACAACGGGGCGGGCAACATCTCAAAATTTCAATATGATTTTTCTTCCGAATACTGACAAACTCAACGAACTCAACATAGCCCTCAGCATTAGGTTTCAGTCTTTTCACGATTTACTCAAGTCAGGAGAAAAAACGGTGGAAAACAACTGGAAACGGATCCATGAGTCAATCACTTCAACATGTCAGGAGGTTCTGGGTCACAAGAAGCATCATCACAAGGAATCGATCTCTGTTGGTACTCTTGAAAAAAGTGAAGAAAGGAGGAACAAGAGGGCAGCAATCAATGTCGGCCGAACAAGAGCAAGGATGAGGAACAAGTAC